AGGTGGGGAGGAGGAGGTGGTGGGAGGGAAGGACCCCTGTGAGCTCACTCTTCAGTGAGTCTCTCTCCCTCCTGGCCTCGCTTTTCTCCTGTGTAAGCCAACGTGCTGGAAGGAGGGTGACTGGTGCCCTCTGTTTAATGGACTCTGGCGAGCCAGGGGAGCTCACAGGGAGGCAGCGAGACCCCAGCCCATGGGTCCCTGTACCCTAAGGTGACCAGATTTTAACATTGGTAAAGCGGGACACCATTGGGAAAACTTATATCCTGTCAAAATAGCCACATGGCAGCAGAAAACCGTATATCCTCGCTTGTTGTGCATTCTTTCTAAACATTGGGACTTTTAAAAATGCTGTGGGATGCGGGAAAAATTGTTAAAAATTGGGATTGTCCCACCAAAAGCGGGACGTCTGGTCACCTTACATGGTCTGGGGTGGCAGGAGCTGGGGCTTAGGCCTGGATCGGATCAGACTGCCCTGGGGAGGCCAGGAAACTTGATCTCCCACTTTGTCCGCATGAGCGGGCTGGGGAGTCTGCTTGTGCTTCACAATCACGGTGGGAAATGTGCAGTTTCTCCCAATGAGATTTGATTTTAATGAGAGGCTAGATTGAGAAAGAGAGTGATTATTTAGATAGGATGCATGTGTCAGGTTAATTTAACAACAGCTTTTAGGTCGGTCTGGTTTAATTATTCCATTAACTGTTTTTGACTAGCAATTTCAATAATTGTATTATAGCACTTGGTGTGCAATTGCTTTCTGGGTTCTGTTCATTGGTGTCGAAGAGACAATGAGGCCCCGAGTCTTCCTGTCGGTGTCTTCCGAGGCAGCGTGGAGACAGTGCAGGCACTGGCCCAGCGCTGAGTGTGTGCTGCCTTCAGTCCCACCTTAAAAAGAAGGAAACTGAGGGACTGAGTCATGAAGAAAACTGCCCAGGAACACCGAGTTGCTACAGGCCTGGATTCTAGCCCTGAGCGCCTCGCTCCCCAACACAGCTCTACACCACACCCCCAGCTCCCCACTGAACAACAGAGACCCTACCTGCCAGGAGGAGGCCAGCCCACTCCTGCTGATCCATCAGGAATTCCGCTCCACAGGAACGCAGTGACCAGGGCCTATGGAGATCATCCAAGAGAACAGGGTCCCGGGAACAGGGTCCCAGGGAAACAGGGTCTCAGTAGAGGTGGAAGCCATGTTCATGCAGAAACCATGGGCTCTCAGAGGGTCGCTCCTCTCCAGAGCAGCCCCTACAGCTCACGGCACATCCAAATATGCGAGGTCTCTTTGTGCTGGGGATACAGTGCTGGGAATGAGATCCTTCAGAGAGATGCCTACCTTTGGGAGCAAGGCTCTCCCCCCAGGACGCCGAGTCCAAAGAAGCTCCCTGGATCCCTGTGTTTCTGAGATGGCATCTGTGTCACCTGGGCGTGTGCAGGCCACACCCCCCACTCCAAGATGAGTCTCGAGACTTGACTTCGGTCCCAGCATTCACAGTCCCAGGAGCCAAAGTCCTCACAACTGGGCGGATCCATGTCTTGATCGAGGGAGAAAAGACCAGCGTAGCCAAGGATTTTGTCTTGCTTGGACCAGTCAGTGCTCACAGAAGCAGCAGCTGTGAGCTCAGAGGAGGCTTCACGGTGGGCAGGTCTGCTGCACATGACTCTCGAGAGAGAGCAGGAAGGCGCCCATGCCCCAGACCAAGGGGGTTTCAGGCACCTCACGTACACCTGAACGTGGGCAGTGAAGGGGCGGCCTGAAGGCTAGGTGGGGGCTGAGATGGCCCAGGAGACAGCCTGAGGGCATGGGCAAGGTTTGGGCAGAGGTAGCCTTCTTCAGGCTTTAAAGGGGGTCACCTCCCCCTTTAAATGTTCATTGTGATTTGTGCGAAAGTTACAGGGCAGACTGGTCTTCCCTTCAGCACTTGGTGTGTGTTTTGTTTGGTGGCCAGTCCCCGCATCCTCGGTGCTCTTCCCTGTCTGTCCTGTCTCTGGGGGCTGCATGAAGGGTCCCCAGGCCGGCGGTTGTCTTGCTGGCCCAGAGGTGCAGCGCCTCGGAGCCTGGCCCTGGCCAAGCCTGACCTCCGGTGGAGAGCTCAGTGGCGCCCTCTGCATGGCAAAGCTGGGCCCACAGTCCCACAATGGCACCCTGGCACCCCTACACCCAACTCCCTTCCTGAGTGGTGCCCAATGCTCAGCAGAGGCCACAGCTGGGAGGAAGGAGATAGGAGGTGGGGAAAGTTGTTAAGCAAGATGTGTGGGTTTTGTTGACGAGAAAACCAATTTGCTGTGTAGACTTGCACTCAAACCACAGTAAATACTAGGTAGCTGAGTGGAAGGATGTTTCCAGAACACCCCTTCCCTAGAAGGTCCCCTGATGCCCCTTCCTTGGTTCACTGGCCTTTGAGGCACTCACAGCCAGCACCTCCTGGGTCACCGGAGGCCACACCAAGCCGGTGTCCTCAGAGTGCCTGTGGGGCTGTCCTGGCCCGGGGAGGGACACAGCGAGTGGGGGTGACCTTCAGGGAGGCCTGGCTAGCATGTGCCCACCAGTGGGTTTCCTCAGACCGTTTCTGTGGTTTGTGCCCTAGTCCTGAGACTAGGGAGAAACTCCAGAGGCGGTTGGTTGGTTGGTTGGTCAGTCAGTCGGCACAGGCCCCAGCAAGGAGCCCGGTCCCAGGCAGGCAGATGGCCATCCTGGGTGTGGCTGGGGTGACCAGGGCTAGGGCCAGGGCCCTGCATGGAGCTGCTGCGACAATCTCGGGGTCACATAACCCCTTTTCTGGTGTCCGGACATGGTATACATTTCCGGAAGAAGCCTCAATCAACTTGACCCGCACCCATAGCTGCACAGGCAGGTGAGGGCAGTTTGCTGACCACTGTTAGGATGCATTTGCATATCATTCTCATTTAAATAGTAAGAGGCATGGTCTATGTGCAAGGCAGCTGAACTGCCCCAACAATAAGACCCCCATCGGCGGGGGGGGGGGGGGGGGGCAGGCAGCCTGGCAGTGTCCTCTGGCCCAGGCTGGAGACTGAGGTGGTGTGTGGCGGGTGAGGGGCACTGCTCCATCGTTAAGGGTGGGGCACATGTAGCCACTGTGGCCCAGAGCGTGCCCGGGTGCTCAGAGCGGGACTCCTGCCAGGCTAGGGGAAGGTGGGGGGTCTGCAGCACTGCCCACAGACTCGGGCAGTAGCCACTTCAGTATATACTGCATGTCTAGTCATTTAACAAACTCTAATGACCAGTTTAAGTACAAATAAACGATATGCCGGAAGGTAGTTTATTATCTCATGCAGTTAATACTTAAATAAGCACTATAAAAGAGGTACACAAAACTAGATTATAAGAGTTTTAAAATATCAAATGATACCTGATGAAAACCATTATTTACCCCCTCCCAGGGGAGTGGTCAACAAAAAAGTGTAAGACATGAAAAAATTAATAATTTACAAATTATCAAGGGTTCATGAGGGAGGGAGGGGACAAATGAAAAGCTGATACCAAGGACTCAAGTAGAAGGAACATGTTTTCTTTGTTTTTAGGAAAATGATCTGAAAATGATGATGGCAACAAATGTACACACGTGCTTGACACATGGATGGATGGATGGATGGATAAGAATTGTACACCCCCCCAATAAAATGATTTAAAATAACATGTTGTTTAAGACATTTCCATATTGCTTCTTGCTGTCCTCACTTGTAATAGTCATCACTTTTACTGGAGCATCCGCGGCCGTTTGCTGTAGGAGTAGGATCCCATTCCTTTAGAGAGGCCAAGTACACAAGTGTCATTGTGTTTGACAGACTAGAAATAGACCAGTTATCTTCTCTGAACATACTGTGTTCATCTCTGAAAAACCCCTTTCCACTTGTGAACGGACAGCAGTTGTTCTGACAATATTATTAGCTCTTGGAATACTTTCAGGAATTGCATAATTCTGAGATTCTTTTAGAATGTTTCCCACAAAATCTCAGTGCTCATCAATATCAATTTGGCAATTAACATGTCATGAAATGCAATCAATTGTTCTTCAGTGGCTTTCTGTGGAACCAGCACTTCTCCCGTGTTCCAGTCATTGGGGTCCCAATAACCGGGAAACTATAATTTACTGCTATCTTGAAATTGGCTGCTACTTGCTTTCAAATGTTCACAATTAGTATTTTTTCAAACTCTTTACAATGTTTTCTAAAAACTTTTCCAAAGGAAATGCAACAAATCAATGATTTCCTAAAAATTTTATATTGTGAATGTTTCTGAAGTAATTGATTCATCAGCTGTTTTTCCCACAGGGACCCTTATATTTCAAATGATTGCGTCCCAGCTTCCCAATGGCTTTTCCCAGTGAGGGATGCCAGCATACTCTTAATATCGCGCAAAGCTGAAAGAACGACAGGCTGTCAGTGCTACTATGCCCTCCTTTTACTGATGTGTAAACTGAAGCATAAGAAATAGGCCCCATCTTCAGCGCTGGGCTGGGCTGGGGGTCCCGTCGGTGTGAGTAGACCGCTTTGCCCTGAGTCACCAGCCAGTGCTGTCCGCGTGGTAGCCGGGCTGAAGAGGGACCACACTTGCATTGACACTGTCTTCTTTTCTTAATTTTTCCAGCCAGTGGCTGTTGAGGCGCTCTGCCTCCTGTCGACTGCATGTGTCAAGTACGACTGTGCTGCATGGAAGGGTTGTCCGTTTGCTTTTCACCTTTGAAACGGAGATTGAGGTGAAGGCTTACAGGGCAGATCATCAGCTTTGCATTCAACAATGTAAATCATATTTTAATTCAGTTGCTTCAGTCCCCTAATGTTCCAAGCCTCCTTTTCTGGCCCCTGAGACGCCTCTGTGGCATGGTGGGTTAGGCACTGCGCTGATAAACATAAGGTTAATAGTTCGAACCCAGCAGCTGCTCCCATAACCATTTCAGAAACCCTCAGGGGCAGCTCTACTTTGCACTGGAGGCTGCTGAACCAGAACTTAGTTTGTCATATTTTGGGTTCCTAGTCCCGTCCTTGCTAGAAAGTGGTTGATTATTCTACTGCAGGGATGAATTCCCTTCCATACCTAAATGGTGAGTGACCAAGGGCAGTTTCCAGAGGCCTGTTTTGTGATTTTTGAGCTCTGTGTCAGACTTTTCTCCCTCTACCCAGGACACCCCAAGTTGATCCCTGTCCAAGTGGAGAACCCTGCTCCTTGTATGTCAGTTCCCTTGTGGGGACTCTGGTCCTTAGGCTCTTTGCCACGGCGAGTCCAGGGTTCTGGCTGAGACTTTATCCTTGTTTCCATAATCAGAAAACCAGGTGATCTTCTGTGCCAGGAATAATACAATCAAGAGGAATGGCATGACATTCATTGTCAGAAAGGACCTTGCTAAATCCATCATGAAATACAGTGCTGTCTGTGACAGGATTATAGCTATCCTCCCCTTCAGGGAAATGCAATCAATCAATACAACTATTACCCAAACTGATGCACCCACCACAAAAGCTAGTGATCAAGAAACTGAAGAATTCTACCAACGACTTCAGTCTGAAATTGATGAAAAATGCCATCAAGATGCATTGATAATTATTGATGATTGGAATGCAAACGTGGGAAACAAAGAGGAAGAGCAGTTGGAAAATATGGACTGAGCGATAGATATGCAGCTGGAGGTCACGTGACAGAATTTTGCAAAACCAACAACTTGTTCATAGCAAATACCTCTTTTATTAACAACACAAGGCAACTGTACCCATGGACTCCTCCAGACAGAACACACAGACATCAGATTGACTAGATCTGTGGGAAGCGACGATGGAGACGCTCAGGATCAGCCCTAAAACAGGACCACGAGTCGACTGTGGAACAGAACACCAATTGCTCACATGTGAGTTCAGACTAAAGCTGAAGAAAATAGAAACAAGTCCCTAAGAACCAAAATTGGACCTCGAGTCTATCCCACCTGGATTTTGAGGACATCTCAAGAATGGATCTGATGCATCAGACACTAATGACAGGAGACATGATGATCTGCGAGAAGACGTCACAACGAAACAGAAAGTCATTAAAAAGACAAGAAAGCAAAGAACAAAGTGGATATCAGAAGTCTCTGAAACTTGCCCTTAATCGTAGAGCAGCTAACACAAATGGAAGAAAGGTGGAAGTCAGAGAGCTGAACAGAACATTTCAAAAGGCAGCTAGAAAAGACAAATCCAAATTTTATAACAAAATGTGCCCAGTCCTGGGAGGAAAGCGGGGAGGGAAGTTGGTAGCAATGATGACTGCACCGCCCCACTCGAGGGGAACAATAACAGGATTGCAGGTGAACGGGTACACTGGGTGGTGTGAGACATGGCAATAATAATATAATATAATGCAATAATAAGGGTTCCGGGGGGGTGGGGTGGGGAAGGTAGGCGATCAAGGGGACCTGATATCAAAGAAGAAAATGCTTTGAAAACGATGGTGGTAGCAATTGTAAAATCATGCTTGATCTAACTGAATTATGGATTGTTATAATATCTGTAAGAGTTCCCAATAAAATGGCTAATAAAAGAAAACCAAAAGGGAAGAACATCCTCAGCATATCTGAAGCTGAAAGAAGCAAAGAAAAACATTCAAGCCTCAAGTTGCAATCTTGAAAGGCTAAGGGCAAAATATTGAACGATGCAGTAAGCATCAAGAGAAGATGGAAAGAACCCACAGTCACGGTACCAAAAAGAACCAGTCGATACACCACCACTTCAGGAGGTCGCATATGAGCAAGAACTAGTGGTGCCAAAAGAAGTTCAAGCTGCACTAGTCGAGCATTCAATATGAGTTCAAGTACTGGCCAAAAGTAAGACTCCAGGAATTGATGGGATGCTTACCGAAATGTTTCAGCAAGCTGAGGAAGCACTAGAAGAACTCACTTGTCTATGCCAGGAAATTTGGAAGGCAGCTGCTTGGCTAACTGACTGGAAGAGATCCATATTTTTGCCCATTCCAAAGAAAGGTGACCCTACAGGATGCTCAAACTATAGAATATCATTGATATCGCACCCAAGTAAAATTTTACTTAGGATTATCCAACAACGGCTGCAGCAGTCCCTTGACAGGGAAATGCCTGTCCAGGCTGGATTCAGAAGAGGACGTGAAACAAGGGATGTCATTGCTGATGTCTGATGGATCTTGGCTCAAAGCAAAGAATACTAGAAAGATGTTTACTTGTGTTTCATTGACTATGCAAAGGCATTCAACTGTGTGGACCATAATAAACTGTCGGCATCCTTGAGAAGAATGGGAATTCCAGAACACTTTATTGTGCTCATCAAGAACTGGCACATGGATCAAGAGGCAGTTGTATGACCAGAACAAGGAAATAGTGCATGGTTTAAAATCAGGAAAAGTGTGCATCAGGGTTGTATCCTCTCACCATCCTTGCTCCATCAACCTGTATGGTGAGCAAACCATCAGCGAAGCTGGCGTGGATGAAGACTGCAGCATCAGGACTGGAGGCAGGCTCATCCACAACCTGCGGCCTGCAGATGACACAGACTCACGTGCTGAAAGCGAGGAGGCCTGGAAGCACTTGCTGATGAAGATCAAGGATTGCAGTCTTCAGTGTGGATTACAGTTCAATGCAAGAAGACCAAAATCCTCACAACTGGACCAACAGGTAACATCCTGATATATGGAGAAAAGGTTGACGCCAAGGATTTTGCCTAACTTAGATCCACAATTAATGCTTATGGAAGCAGCAGTCAAGAGATTAAAAGATGTACTGCATTAAATACATCTGCTGCACAAGACCTCTTTAGTGTATTCAAGAGTAAGGATGTTACTTTGAGGACTAAGGGACGCCTGACCAAAGCCACGGTCTTCTCCATTGCATTATATGCATGTGGAAGTTGGATACTGAATAAGGAAGACGAAAGAAGAATTGATCCATTTGAATTGTGGTGCTGGAGAATAATCAAAGTACCACGGACTGCTAAAAGGACAAACCGATCTATACTGGATGAAGTAAGGCCAGAGTGCTCCTTAGAGGCAAGTATGGTGCATGCATCTTCATCTTACATACTCTGGACATACTGCCAGAGGAGACTAGTCCCTGGAGAAGGGCATCGTGCTTGGCAGAGGGACACTGCAAAAGAGGAAGGCCCTCAATGAGATGGAGTGTCATACCAGCTGCATCAACTGGCGCAGGCATAGGAACAGTTGTGGATGACTCAGAACCATGCAGTGTTTGGTGTGCATAGGGTCACTATCGGTCAGAGCCGACTCGATGGCAACTAACAATAAAAGCTGGGTTTCTGTATCCTCCAGACCTGCAGCCAGTACTTAACACTCCAATGCAGCCATTGCCACATGCATTCTTGATCTGGCACACCTTTGGATGGCCAGGATTACCAAAACACCCCCCTCACTGTGCACAGGCTCTGTGCCAGTGCAGGCAGAAGCAGCACTGGAAATAGGTAAGGATGGGGTGCAGCAGGTGCCTACCATCACAGTGACTCCCCAGAAAGTAATGCAAATGTAGATAACAGAGAAAATGTCCTTCTAACGTTGAGAAGACATCTCCCCTGGAACAAGTTCCTTGTGCACAAAAAAGGGAAACTGCGTAAATGAAGGCTTTTGCATCTTGGCTAATCATAGACTCTCTTCAGGTGTGTGGGCTCAGAGGTGTCTGAGGAAGGCCAACCCTGAGGCTTCCATCTTTGACATTCAGGGAAACGATCCACTGTGTAATATTTCATATTATCCAAGAACAGGACCTGTAGATTCTCTCAGCAACATTTAACTTATATAATGCCTATCTAATGTGACTACTCACATCTTCAGTAGGATTAGTTAGGAAAAATTTTCATATATGCATAATGAGCCCTGTTGGCACTGCTGGATAAGCATTAGGCTGTTTATACAAGATAAGTGGTTCAAAACCACCTGCCAGTCCACAGGAAGATGATGAGGCCAACTGCTCCTGTAAAGACTGCAAAGAAGTGGAGAGCAAATGTTTTGAGAACGACGAGGGCAATGAATGTACAAATGTGCTTTACACAATTGATGATTTGATGTGTGTATGGATTGTGATAAGAGTTGTATGAGACCCTAATAAAACGATTTTAAAAAAAGAAGACTGAAAGAACAAACACGACAACTCACTGCCTGAATCCATAACAACTCAAGGACGCTCAGCGTCGGGACTCTCACACCGGATGGCGAGGAGTCAGAAGAGGCTCAAGGGTTGTGGATTTTTCCTCACATATGCATAAATTAGAATATCTTTGACAATCTAGAAAGGAAAACAAAAACTCCCCACATTCCAATACTTACATGCTTTCTCTGCCATGTACTTTCTATCAGTAGAAGGAAAAAGTGCTGGACCCTATCCATCATTCCTTAAACATATATATATTTTTTCTTTCCAGCACCATTTACAGAGGCATTTTAGAGGATGGGGGACATCTGAAAACTTGCCCACCTTTTTAAAATGCATGCAGCCTCCTTCTGATGTGAATGCATGATTACTGATGCTTGAGGACACACTGAAGAATTTCTCACATTCTGCACTCAGAATGTTCCTCTGGAAGATGATTTTCGTATGTGTCCATTGAGGGATGAAAATAACTAGACTTCGTTCCTTCTTCCCTTTGTGAGGTTGTATGGTCAGTAGACACAGACTAAGGCTTTCCCACATGCTGATGCAAGGTGTGTTACTAAAATATGGCACTTAAAACATTTGGTATGCTTTCTTCTATTAAATTGGCATTCTATGATGCTCACCTTCCCAACACAACTGCTGAAGACAAAGCAGGTGAATAAGCAAATGTGGTGAAGAAAGCTGATGGTGCCC